CTCTGTCTCTCTCCATCCCTCCCTCTGTCTCTCTCCATCCCTCCCTCCCTCTGTCTCTCTCTCCCCTCTCTCATCAGTCTCTCTCTGGACTCTCTACTCCTCCGTCTGGTTCTATCCATCATCATAATGGACTCCTCATCCTTCCCGCCGTTATCTTTTCTCCAATCATCATCTCTCTTTTCTCTCTCTTTTCTCTCTCTTTTTTCTCTCTCTCTCTCTTGCTACCAAATTCTTCAATTCTTTTTCCTCCAACTCCTTTCATTTTATTCTCTCTCTCCTCTCTCTCTCTCTCTCTCCTCTCTTCCCTGCTCTCTCTCCTCTCTCTTTTCTCTCTACGTACCAAACTCTTCCACTCTTTTTCCACTCACTCCTCTTTCATGTTATTCTCTCTCTATCTCTCTCTCTGTATCTCTTTCTTTATCTCTCTCTTTATCTCTCACTCTCTATTCTCTCTCTCCTCTCTATTCTCTTCCCCCCCTCTCTATTCTCTCTCTTCTCTCTCTTTTCTCTCTATCTACCAAACTCTTTCACCTTGATTCACTCTCTTTTCTCTCTGTCTCTCTTTTCTCGATCTATCCATCACTCTCCTCTCTCTCTTCTCTTTCTCTCTCCTATCAAGCTGTCTCTATCTTCTCTCTCTCCTCTCTATCTGTCCATCACTCTTCTCTCTCTTGCTCTTCTTTCTCTCTCTCTCTCTTTCTATCTATCTCTCTCTTCTCTATCTCTCTCTTCTCTCTCTATCTTTTCTCTCTCTCCTTTCTCTCTTTTTTCTCGCTCCTCTCTCTATCAAGCCGTCTCTCCTCTCTCTCCTCTCTCTCTCCTCTCTGTCTTCTCTCTCTCTCCTCTCTCTCTACCTCTCTCTCTCGCTTGCTCTTTCTCTCTCTACCTCTCTCCTCTCACTCACTCCTTTTCTCTTTAATGAACTATTCTTCTCTTTCATCCCACACCTCTTCACGCTTTTTTCCATCTCTTTTCTCTCTCCTCCCTCCGTCCTCACACTCCTATTTCTCTATCCACTCTTTCTTTCTTCTCATCTCTCTCTCTCTCTACCATTCTCCTCTCTCCTTCGCTATCCCTCTTTCTACCAAATTCTGCCCTCTTTTTTTTCTCTCTCTCTCTCATCCCTACTTCTCTACCTCCTCCCCATCTTCTCTTCCCTCTCTCCTTTCCTCTCTCTCTCTCTCTCTCTCTTACCCCTTTCATATCTCTGTCACTCTTTCCTCAGTTCCTTTTTTTTCTCTCTTTTCCTCTCTCATCCTTCCTTTTTTCCCCTCTTCTTACCCTCCCTCCTCTTCTCATTTTCCCAATCTCTCCCTCCGTTCTTTCTCCTCCATCTCTCCGCCTCATCCATCCTTATTTCCTGAATGTTACCGGAGTAATCTTTATTTCCTCTTTTGCACTGCGTCTCTCTCTCCTCTCTTCTCTCTCTCTCCCTCCTCCGTCTCCTCCCTCGCTCCGCCTCATCCATCCTTATTTCCTCTCCTCCGCCGCGTCTCTCTCGTTCGTTTCGCAGACCTGCTCGGCGTTCGGTCTCGTGTCCGTCTCCACCCAACAAAAGCACTTCTCCTTTATACCACTCTCCTTATTCTGTCGTTCATCGCGCAGCAGAAGAGGAGAAGAGAGGGAGGAGAAGGAAGGAGAGAGGGAGGAGGACAGAAGAGGAGGAGGAATAAGAGAGCAGGAGAGAAGGAGAAAGCGGAGAGAAGGAAGAGGAGAAGAAGGAGATGAGGAGGAGAGAGGGAGGAAGAGGAGGAGAACAGAAGAGAGGAGGAGGAGAAGAGAGAAGGAGAGGAGAGAAGGAGGAGGGGAAGAGAAGAAGAGGAGAGGAGGAGATGAGAGAAGGAGGAGGAGAGAAGGAGAAAGGAGAGAAGGAAGAGGAGGAGAGAGGGAGGAGAGAAGGAGGAGGAGAGGAGGAAAGGAGATAAGGAGGAGAGGAGAAGAAGGAGAGAAGGAGGAGGAGAGGAGGAAAGGAGAAGGGAGAAGAAGGAGAGAAGGATGAGGAGGAGGAGAAGGAGAGAAGGAGGAGAGAGGGAGGAAGAGGAGAAGAGGAGGAGAACAGAAGAGAGGAGGAGGAGAAGAGAGAAGGAGGAGGAGAGAAGGAGGAGGAGAGGAGGAAAGGAGGTGGAGAGAAAGAGGAGGAGAGAGAGAGGAAGAGGAGAGAAGGAGGAGTAGGAAAGGAAGAGGAAAAGAAGAGGAGAGAAGGTAGAGAAGGAGGAGGAGAAGAAAAGAGGAGAAAAAGGAGAAGGGATCTTCCACTACTCCTTATTCTATCGTTCATTATGAGTCAGAAGAAGGAGGAGGAAGAGAAGGAGAGAAGGAGGAGGAGGAAGAGAAGGAGAGAAGGAGGAGGAGGAGGAGGTCTACACGAGAACTTCGTACATCGGGCGTCATTCATGAAACCTTCTTATAAATTTTTTTTTTTCTGGAAGAACAAATCCAATGATCAGTCGAGACTCAGAAGAACAAAAATTCTACTGTTTTAAAATATTTTCACCCTGAT